TATATATATATACATATATATAATATTTATATGTATATATAAATGTTATATATATATGTATATATAAATATTCTTTTTTTATAAAAATAACAATTAAAAAAATATTGTATTGTTACTAAATGAATAAGATTCGCATTAATTGATCAATCATAAGCGAGTTTGCTAACAATAATTTAGCAAATCTCTACGCAAACTGTATATATCTTCAATAGGAAAACTTTTAAACAACTATTGAACAAAACTTTCTTAAATTTTTGTCTATTTTTTACGCAGTATTGTTACAACTGCGATAATATTAGACAGTAACTGAATAGTGCTAGGAATTGCATATATTTATATTAAGATACAACACAAACACTATTATTATTACTATTATTACAGAATCTGGTTTTGATTACACATCTATATTAAAAAAAATATTTTTGTAAAGATATCTAAGATATCTTTTTACGTAACGATAGTCAGTTGTTATTCAACTCTTAATTTCCGGTTTTTAATATATTCATCGTCAAATATTTTAGCTCTTTATTTGCCAATCGCATTATTTCGTAATAAGAAGAATGATAAAAAATAAAATTAAAATATAATAAATATAATTAAAATCTAATATAAAAATCCTCATTTATTTATTATTGCACTAATTATATTTTTCTGCTTAACAAAATTAGTTTTATAAATGTAAATAATTATATGTTTCACATATATTATTATGATTAATGATGTCAATCAGTAATGCAATGTAAAGGAAAAGATAAATATCGCTCATGGGTGACGTATCGATAAATATGTTAATTCACAGAGCATTGAATCTATGTTTTGTTATTCCTATTATTCTTTATTACTTCTTTCACAATTAGCGTTTACAGCGAGAATTGTCTTACAGCTTATCAATTCTCATAGATTTTGCAAAAGATTTGAATACGATTTGCAATACATAATAATCGTCAAGTCAACGACAGAAAAAAAAAGGGTCGCCGTCGTTTTTCGAGACTCGGAGGAATCCAAACTCGACGCCACCCCATCGTCCCGTGATGACAGTCGCGGGATGAATTCTAATAACGTGTCCTCTTTAGTCTAGCGCGCATGAATCCATCTTTTGCTAACGAGGGTGGAAGTTCACGATTGCGTCCCAGGAATGCGTGATGACTACTTTGTTAGGAATGCAGCACGGCGTGGCGTTCATACGAGAGCGAAACGAGAGCGGTATATGCAGTGGCGGAGAACGCCCGAGTGGTTAAAACGCAAGCCGAGCTTCTGAAGTCCCCCATCGAGACACCGACAGAAACTCGAGATAGATTTAGAAAAACGATATTCAGATATTATATCCGACTGAAAGTAATACTGATTTGACGAGTTTAAAGTAATTTTACGAGTGTCTGCAGCGGAGTTGAAGTCAGAGCTGCGATTAAAAGGAATCCGTGGATAAAAATTTAAAAACATAATTAATAGTGTTTAAAGAAGACAAAGAAGACAAGCTGCAAAATCGCAGCTAATAATTCAATAACTCGAATGATGATTGTCGTGCTCAAAATAAATGTCGAGAAGAATATTATCTTGACTCTACCGGGGAGGCAATCGTGTCTCAGCGATAATCCGCCACTGGTTATACGGGAAAACGTGGCTGAAACGCAGCTTCAGGACGCGAAGCTGAAAGCAGC